TTTAGGGTAGCCGAAGAAAATTTTGGAGCCGAAACGTGGATCGCGGGGATATACCCGCGATCCGCGTGTAACGTAAATAAAAAAAAAACTGTTCTCAAAAACGCAGGGAAGACGTGATTTTCAAACGCTACGGCGGCGTTTTCAAAAACGCCGCCGCACATTTAAGTTGTCCCAAACGGGGCCAAAGTTTTATTTTTATTTTACTCTATTCTCTTATGTAATAAATTATTTAAATTTATGAATGAGGATATATCTTTATTTGGTGAAGTAAATGATTATATTAACATTTAGTTATGATTAATTATTTGGTAGACTAATTAATAATTATTATAATCTTATTAAATTAATTAAATTTAATATGTTATTTTTATTAATTAATTATTAAGTAGTTAAAATTTTATTTATCTAATTATAATTACTTTGATAACATTATTAATTAATTTTTATTAATTAATTAATTTATTTATTGAAAATCAACTTACTTTAAAGCCACTTAAAATCCTCGCCTAGCCCTGTTTTTTCCTCTCCCGATTTCCCTTAAACCATTGCCTTTGTGACCGAACCCTAACCATCTCCTTCATGACCAAACCATCGCAATGTGGTGGTGATTAGAGCTAGCTGGGAAGGTAACGATGGCATTGTGGCGTACAATGATCTCCAAAACTCCCATTTTTCTCCTTCTTCTACTCTACTCCTAAAGTAAGCATCGTCTTTCTCCCCCTTCATCCCACCCACCTTCTTGCACTTCAACTTCTCTAAGTCCCGTAAATCCATTTTCTAACAGGATTTAGAAAATCCTAGATTTTAGGCAAAACAGAGGAAAAATAGGATTTAAATTTTTATTTGACCAATATACCCTCAATTGGTCCCGCAACATTGTTAAATTAAGCAAAAAATTTGATATAGGACTAATTTAGATCAATATTCAGTAGTTTGGGACTAATATACAACACTTCACAACTCTTGGACTAAATTTATTACTTGTTGAAACTTGGTGGACTATTTTAGGCCTTTGCTCTATTTGTAAAGTTTATATTGATTACAAGAAGATTATTGATGACTTTTTTATTTTCTTATTAAATTGATGTCAAATTGTTAGATATTAACTCTAAATTTATTAAATTATACGTTTCTTTAAACCTTAAATAATATTTATTAATATGATAATCATATGAGAATTTTTTTAACACTTACTCCTTTATCTTGTTCATAAACTTGCGTAGGTACTCATTCAATTAATTTAAGCGAGCAAATTGCAGCCCAAGTTTAATCATAAACAATTCTAAGCATGCTAAGTACAAGCATATGTATTAAAGCATAGCTCAAACCTGAGTTGAACATAAACAACTTGTGGTATTATTAAGTCAAGTATGATAAATGATGTGCTCTACTCAATTCAGATCAATTATAGCCCACATATTAGCTGTCATCAATGAATTGTTCTCAAAACGTAAATAATAAGTAAAATGAAATAACTACTAAAAGATATAAATTATTGAAAATTGTACCTAAATGACATAAAAATTAATGCCTGATGTGATTGTCCATTGAGGATAAACATGATTTTCATCAATTTAATTAAGATTTACCTTAAAATTTTTTGTAATTTTTCCTTCAGGTATTACTATTCTATCAAACTCCAATTTCACTCCATTTCTTTTTATATCCTGTATCTTTAAGCCCATTCAATTCATATTTAACTTTCTTTTGCTTCTCTTTGTTTACTTTTCCCCTTGTGATATTCTGTTTCTCCTACGATTAGGCCCTTATCAACAGACTAGCTTGTGATATTACTCTTTTCAAATTTCTCATCTGCTTCATCTCCATCCCTTTCTTCTCCTCTGGAGTGATAAGAGCCTTAGGAGAAAGATTTGAGGCCCTCATCGCAGTGTTGCAAACATTAAAGGTGACCTAGTCTTGCTTTTTAGTTAATTTTTTTGTTCAGATTCTCTTATATACATGATGCTAAAATGAACATACAACGAAGTTCTCAAGTTTTTGAGCTTACCAAACATTACTTTTATAAGACGCTACAAGCTATAGCAGTCATTAACATACATTGTCAGAGTGAATACAAAGATAATTGAATTTTTTGGATTTAGTTACTCAATCTTTATTTATCTTTAGTGAATTGATATAATAATTATGAGTTAATATAGCAATAAAACAAGTACCTAATAATATCAAATTATAACAATAGTGAATAGTTAATTATTTATAAATTTATTTAAATGGTAATAAATTAGTTAGGCTTATTAATTATAACTAAAATGATTATTTGAAATTAATTAGTGCTTATATATTTGTTGATGATGATTAGAAATTTATTTAGCTCATAATTATTGATTGGTGGATATTAATAATTAAAGTATATTAATAGAGCTTTGATAAATTAATTGAGATTATTCATAAGGTGATGATTACTTTTACTACATCCTCGCATACTATTAAGTGTCTAATCAAATCTCACATTCATTTAAATCTTAACTGTGACAATAATTTCCAAAGATTTTAATAGGATTTTTGCCTATTTACAACTATCAAACCAAACGGCTTTTAAGATTTTCTAGATCCTTCTTGTAGCCAAACAGTCCCTAAGCATCTGGAAGCTTTGTACGCCAATTTTTTCCAATTTTAAAATAGAACTACCAACTTAAATGCATGGGGAAATTTTCTAATTTCTTTTAATTTTAAAGTCAATAAGTCCTATTATGTTTTTTGTTTTATGCAATTTTGCAATCTTGTTTGAATTAATGATGGCTTGTTGCTTGTTTTTCGATCATATTGTAGAGCGCTATCTTTTCATGTCATTTAGGGGTGTCAATTCAGGTAACTGTGTTGAGTTTGAGTCTTATCTGGATTTGTATGACCCGACCCAACCCATTTATTAAACAGGTTTTAAGTCTAGCTCAAATCTGACCCTTCTTCATCCTGACTAATTTGATCTTATCCACATAACCCGATTAATATAAGGCATAATAGCCATTCAGGTCAGTTTTGAGTCAATCTCAAGTTAACAGGTCAACTCAAACCAGACCAAAAAGTTAAATGGGTGAGGATTCTAAACCCAAATCCAACCACAATTAACCAGACCGACCTGAATTTGGATTTTTCTATTTGGTTTTGGGTTGGGTTATCATATTGGGTCAATTTTTAACACTCCTAATATTATGGACATTATGATTTCAAAATACTCAAAGATTTGTTCAAGTTTATTCTTCAAATAATGATGACATGCTGCTTAACTGCAACTGGCAAGTCTGCTCTATTTCTTGTCCAAAGCTTAAAATTCTTTTCTTCATGATTTTTTTTTTGTTCTGAATTGCAAGAAGACCTTACCCCAAATAATAATAATTAAAAAAGTTACAAGCGAAACCTGAAAACTGATATGAATAATTCATAAGAAATTTCCATCTCTGGGAAATACTTTTATCTCCAATAAATGCAAAAGAAACAAGTGAGGGGCACTCTAGTCTTTACTTGGCTTTGCAAGTGAGATATGAGAAACCATTGAGAAATTATCTGGATGCCATTTGGTATCATGCATACATTGCTTATTCTGCCTGAGTGTTCATTTGCATAAGCGTTTCTTGTTCCTCTGCTTTATATTGAAAAACATTTCATAGTCTTGCATTAGGGAGCTAGTCATGTACTTACCTTAAAAAAGGTTGCATCTTCTTGTGAGAAGAATATCTAGTATGTGATGCTATAAATTCACTGCAAACTTGTCACCTATCATTAATATAAGTTCCTTTGTTTGTCATTTATGCGTCATCTTATTAATATATCCTTTTCTATGTTTAAATTCTCTATTCTTTTGCTCAATTTGTTTATATTGACAAATAATCTTTTGTTTTTTTGTGTAATGGAAGCATTGATTTTCTCAATATGAATATTAACCACATGGCAAATTGCCTCTACAACTTTTGCTTTGAAAAATGTGGCAATGTATTTTTTCTGCTTCTGTTGAGTTTGTACCATTCCAGTATCACTGTGGCTTGCATCGTGATATCATGCTATTGGAATTGATTGACTTATGTCTGTGCTTTCAACCTACTAGTTCCTGTTCATGCATGAAAATTAAAATTTAGAAGGATCAAAAAGAGAAAATTAACTTTTCCGATAGCATCAAGTCCTTCGTTTGTGTGGATAAATTGCGTGGAAGTGCTAGCTGTATGCCTTAGTTCTTTCCTATCAAATTTGGAGAACGAAATGCACCTCATGGTAAATATCATAATTTTTTTTGCTGGGAAAAATATTTAAGTTTCCTATGAACACTTTCATTTAAAGTTCAATCGAAAAATGAAAAGAATGATTGATTGTAACAGCATGAAAAAAAAAAAAAACACTTTCTGTGCCACTGTTGTAAGTAAGATAATATGATTTACTATGTTGACTCTTCAGACTTGAGGAAAAATGGCCGACGGTGAAGATATCCAACCTCTTGTTTGCGACAATGGAACTGGCATGGTTAAGGTTTGTTAACATTTTTTTCATGCCTGGCATAACTCCTGAAAATAACCGAAGTTTAATTCGTTTCAATTCTCCTACTCTTTAGGCTGGTTTTGCTGGTGACGATGCACCCAGGGCGGTTTTCCCTAGCATTGTTGGCCGACCTCGTCACACAGGTGTTATGGTTGGTATGGGCCAGAAGGATGCTTATGTGGGTGACGAAGCCCAGTCGAAAAGAGGTATCCTCACTTTGAAGTATCCAATCGAGCATGGTATTGTCAGCAACTGGGACGACATGGAGAAGATTTGGCATCACACCTTCTACAACGAGCTTCGTGTTGCCCCAGAGGAACACCCGGTGCTGCTTACTGAAGCTCCTCTTAATCCCAAGGCGAACAGGGAAAAGATGACCCAAATCATGTTTGAGACTTTTAATGTGCCTGCTATGTATGTTGCCATCCAGGCCGTGCTTTCCCTTTATGCTAGCGGTCGTACGACAGGTTTGTAATTCTTTGATTTCTTAACGAAGAAGTTAATTTATTTTTGGAGCATTTACATGCATTCCACACAATTATTATATATCTACATATCTAACACTTGAACTTTCATGTGTGTGTGTGTGTGTGTGTGTGTGTGTGTGTGTGTGTGTGTAGCACTCCATTCTTTAACTTCACATAAAAATGCCATAAATACTAATTTCTTAAAAGTGAAATACACCTTTTCATGCATATGTGAATAGACCAAACTGTTATAAAGGTAAATATCAAACTTTATGTGTTAGATATGTAAATATAATTTTTCCTTAAAAAAGGGAGATTTTCATACATACCACTCAATTTTTATTTATTTACATATCTAACACACCTAACCTTTAATTTTTATGTACCATCCACCGTACCCATACATGAAAAAGGTGTATTTCACTTTTTAAAAGTTAACATGGTGGTATTTTGAGGTGATATGAAAGATTTGGATGATATAAATGTAAAAAAGAAAGTTTAGGTGTTAGCCATGCAGATATATGGGAATTGTGTGGTATGTATGTAAATGTTTCCTTTTATGTAATTATCCCCTTCTTTATTCATGTATGTTGGGTGTTTTATCAACAGGCATTGTGCTTGATTCTGGTGATGGCGTTAGTCACACTGTACCAATATATGAAGGATATGCCCTTCCACATGCCATCCTACGTTTGGATCTCGCCGGTCGGGACCTCACCGATGCTCTGATGAAGATCCTCACCGAGAGAGGCTACTCATTCACAACTACCGCCGAACGAGAAATTGTGAGGGATGTGAAGGAGAAGCTCGCTTATGTTGCACTGGATTACGAACAGGAGCTGGAGACTGCGAAGAACAGCTCTTCTGTCGAAAAAACCTATGAGCTTCCTGATGGGCAGGTGATCACCATAGGAGCCGAGCGTTTCAGGTGCCCTGAGGTCCTCTTCCAACCATCCATGATTGGAATGGAGTCTGCTGGCATTCATGAGACGACATATAACTCCATTATGAAGTGCGATGTGGACATCAGGAAGGATTTGTATGGTAATATTGTGCTTAGTGGTGGCTCAACCATGTTTCCAGGGATTGCCGATCGGATGAGCAAGGAAATCACAGCACTTGCCCCCAGCAGCATGAAGATTAAGGTGGTTGCGCCGCCTGAGAGGAAATATAGTGTTTGGATTGGAGGCTCCATCCTTGCTTCTCTTAGCACCTTCCAACAGGTAACAATTTTTATCATTGATTCCACTAACATCAGTGTAGGCTCTACTTTGGCTTAATTGAAGCTGAGAATATTTGAACATGACTTGATGTTAAAATCATTTGATTCTATCTGTTTGAAATTAATTTTGAGTTGATTTTATGTGATCTTTTATCATAACCTGTGTGTTTACAGTTTATCTGCTAAAACATTTGAATTTGCAGATGTGGATTTCGAAGGCCGAGTATGATGAATCTGGTCCTTCAATTGTTCACCGAAAATGCTTCTAGGTTGGCTTGGCAGGCATGTTTTGTTCTTGCAGAGATTGAATGCAATTGGATCTGTTCGGGTCTGTATGAGATAAACTCTGTTTTTTTTTTTATGTTGCATCTATCCCCTCCGTTTTTCTGCTCTTTTTCATTATGCTGTATCTCTCCTTTTCTGTCTTTTTTTTTTTTGGATTGCATTATTTTTCTGTTAATTTGGAATCAAAGTGGTTACTGTGCTTTTAAACAATTATTGGTGTTCCCAACTGTCATCAATTTTTATATTTAAATATTAAGGCTCTAACCTTACTGAGCCTACCAATGATTTGAGTCGAACCGAGTTGGAGAATGTTCGAGCCAAGTTTTTATGAAAATGTTTAATTTCAATTCATTTAAATTTGTCTGGTTTGAGTTTGATTCATTTTATGATCAACAAGTTCTGCAATTGCAGTTTGTTTGGAAATTCAATTGAATTTTCTCGGGCTGAATACTTGATAATTTCATGATCATAAAAAAATAATAATTTATTAAGCTTTATCGTTTAGGAAGTTCATAAAATATTTTCATAGCACTATTTCAAACACATAAATAAGTTCTTATAAAGTCATGCTTCTTGTAACTTGTCAAATGCGCATTTATTTATAGCTCAAAGCTTGGAGCGTATTTTCTGTGCGGACTCCTGACGTAGCTCTACGTGTCACGGAAGTTATTCCTGAGTTATTTTTAGGTTATTTCTGGGTTATTTTTAGTAATCCCAAAATAACTCAGAAATAACTCAAAAATAAAGACCGCGTGTTATTTATGGGTTATTCCGGGATTATTGAAAATAACTCAGAAATAACCTGAAAATAACTCAGGAATAACCTCCGCGGCACGTAGAGCTACGTCAAGAGTCTGCACAGAAAAATTAGGCCTAAGCGTGAGACCGCAAACTTCTTCTTTCGTTGCTTAATGGTTTTATTTTACTAGCACATAAAACAGAGAGAGAGAGAGAGATTAAAAGACTGGTAATTGAGAATACTGCTATTATATGTGTGATCCGTCCCCGTAGGGATCGAATCCAGTCAGAGGGGTCATATATATCTATCTGATGATTTAGAGCATCCAACCTTACTAAATAAACCAAAATAGTGTTCTAATCATAGACAAACTTAGATCATCAGGATCTTAATCTAACCTCATTCATTTAATTTATTTGAATGATGCTGATTCATTTCATCGTCGTTTTTCAAAATCATTTTAAATTTACTTTCATTTATTAAAGTAGTCCAATAAATTAAATGAAAGTGGAGTACTAAATAAAATTTAAAGTGAATTTAAATACCAACGACTTAGTGGTTGAGAGTATAATTTTCCTCTGAGATTCTGGGTTCGAATAGTGCCTATTGCACTTAGGGCTTAACTTTCTCGAAAAACAAAAAAAAATTTAAATAATATATATATAATGTATGTCATCATTATTATGTTCACTAACGCTTGTCATAAATCGATCACCACATCTCAATAGACTTCCTCTGCCAACTGCAACTTTTTTTAAATTTCTTATTCAACCAAAATTATTGGTTTTCTTTATGGAGGGGAAGAACCACAAAAGTTAGAAAAATATAAATAATATAAGTTCAGTAATTGGCTCCATTTAAATTAGAAGTTCAATAATCAATAAGAATAATGACATGAAATAATGTTCTAGACATACCTCACTAATGAAAGGATGGTGCACTTTGCCAAATTTTGTTAGGATGGTAATGCAAATAAGTGGTACTGGTTTTGAACTTTATGGCTCAGATTTGAGACCCCAATTCTTGCCATCACCAACAGTCTTGAATAGGTTTTTTGGTAAAAAAAATTGTCCATCATATAGCTATAGGATGGTTGTTTATTAGAGATATTATTAGCTCAAATTGACATGAATATGATGCTCAAATCTTAGCAATGAATAAGTGCAGTGCGGTTTAAGCTAATTCCTTTAACTTGATGAAGTTAATTTTCATTTTCATTAAGTTTATTAGCTTAAACATCAAATTCTTCTCATAGGGGATTGTACCTCAATATGTCTTAGCCGCTTAATAATAGATAGCCATGTCCAAAAATACCCCTACCATCGATATCCCCCTTAACCTCACTTATTTGATAGAAAGGTCATTACCAACCCCAACTCCAACCCACATAAAAAAGAGATGTTGTTGTACACGTCATCGACAGACGATGTGGCGCCCGGTGATTGGCCGTCCGAACGTCCGTGTAGACGTGCGGACGTCTGGATGAAATATTTTTTCCACGAAAAAAAAATAATAATTATAAGAGATTCGTAGGGATCAAATTAATCACTATTTAATTTTTATTTTTTTTCTTATTTTATGAAAACATTTGTTTATTATGAGTTTATACATATCCAAAACATCAAATATTTTTAAATCTTTGATAAAATATTGCATTTATTTATCATTTGTTTTCATTCCCAAATTTAATCAATGCTTGTTTTTTTTTGGGAAAAAGAAATAAATGCAAAGTTAGTCAATTGAAAGGGTTTTAAAATTCAAGTAAATAAAAAAAAAGAGAAATAATTGCAAAACAATTGTTTGAAGTTTAAATTATATATTAGCAAGTCTAAGTTTATTTCTAGCACAATTAGGTTTCTCCTACATCATGTAAATTCAAAATATATTTTTGGGTTGGTTGACTACTCAAATTTTAGCACATTAAAAAAAAAAAATTGCCATAATTTCATACAAACAACCCGAAACATTAATATATACAAAATAACCAACCACTTGATTTCTCGCGAACTAACAAACCAATGCATTTACACGTGTCATGATCAAACTATTGAGAATCCATGCATTTTGAAATTCGAGCCAGAATTTGAAATATGAATGAAAGAAGAACAATTGATTTGTAAATAGCAAGTTTGGGATGGTTTTTTATGTAATAGTCCCTAACATTTTTATGTAATAGTCCCTAACATTTTTTTTTTTTTTACTTCATTTTTAAACAATAAGATATGCATTAGAGCACATTTATTATACACTTAAATTCACCTCAATCCAATCCAATCCAATCCAATCCAATAACAAGCCCCATACCCATCGCATGAAGACCCGGAGCGACCCTCCTTCCCACCTCGTACAATTTCACTTCTCCCCAACCTTCAACAACAATACTTCTCTATTTTAAAGCAACACATCCCTACTTTCTAGCTTAACCTAATCCCTTTATCCTCTATAAATCACCATCCTTTCCTTCATTAAAATCATCTTCACATCTCAATCTTCTTCCATTCGAAGCAGCAATGGAGCTCGATTTGTCCCCGAAGAATCCCAAGCAAGTCTACGGCGGCGATGGAGGCTCTTACTTCTCATGGTCTCCTGATGAACTCCCAATGCTTCGCGCCGGCAACATCGGCGCCGCAGAGCTTGAACTGGCCGAGCGCGGCCTCGCTCTGCCCACCTATTCTGATTCGGCTAAGGTCGCTTATGTTATCCAAGGTAAGAATTAAACCAGTTTCGGTGATGATGATTGGGGGATTTTACTGTTTTGAAGTATCGATTCTGTTTGTTTCTGCGCCGTGTTATGCTTCAGGGTTTTGGAATTGATTGATTTTTCTTTTTTTCATTTTTTTTTTGTTGGGGATTTTGGATCAAGAGAATTCTGGGGCCTTAGGCTGATGTTTGATTTCACATTTAGCTCCTTTATTTGATTGAAAAAGACTGTTTTAGCTGAGTGTGAAATTCTTTTAGTAATTGAGAAATTCAGATTGTTCTGTATAACTGCTTACAAGGAAGAAAAATGTTTTTTTTTGATCTTGGTCTATGGGGAAAAGGTATGGCTGTTTTACCTCGCCTTTTTTTTTTTTTTTTTCCTTTTTTCTTAATTTTTTTCCGTTTGCCTAATTGGATGTGCTTGGAATTGGAAAAAATATGAGGATTTAACATAATATCACTAAATACCTTCAATCCACATGTGCGAATTCCGCACATAATATCCACTCTTGGAATTTGATCAAATTTACTTTATTCAGAGTTGGTTTTTTTCATCTTCGTAGTTTCCAGATTTGAAGGAGCTTTTTTTATTTCAGCTTTAATCATGATAGGATTTTTCTTGAAGAAGACTACTATTCATGAAGTTTTATTTCCGGAAAATTGGATACAAATCCAGTCAGTTTCCAAAAATTATATTTTGGCTCCTACCATATAGTAATTGAGAATCTGAAACTGTTCTGCAACTAATACTGATTTGGCCCAACATCTAAAGGGACTGGTACTTGTGGAATTGCTCTTCCTGAAACGCCAAAGGAGAAGGTGCTTCCCATCAAAGAAGGTGATGCCATTGCTCTCCCCTTTGGTGTCGTGACATGGTGGTTCAACCCTAACTCCACCCGACTTGTCATCCTATTCCTTGGCGACACCTCGAAGGGCCACCTCGCGGGCCAATTCACAAACTTCCAAATCACAGGCTCCAAAGGCATCTTCACGGGCTTCTCCACCGAGTTCGTCAGCCGCGCATGGGACCTCTCCACCGACGATGCTGAGGAGCTCGTCGGCAGCCAAAAGGGATCTATCATCGTCAAAATCTCCGACAACCAGTCCATGCCTCAGCCCTCTGAGGCCGACCGCAAGGGGTTGGTCCTCAACTGCCTTGAGGCGCCCCTCGATGTCGACATTGAGGGTGGCGGTTGTGTCGTCGTCCTCAACACCCAAAACCTCCCTCTCGTCGGTGAGGTCGGTCTCGGCGCCGATCTTGTGAGGATCTATGGCCACTCCATGTGTTCCCCGGGATTCTCATGTGACTCTGCCTATCAGGTAACCTATGTGCTTAGGGGCAGTGGTCGCGTGCAGGTTGTTGGCATTGACGGAAAGCGCGTGCTCGAGACCCGCATTGAGGCCGGCTACCTCTTCATCGTGCCCAGATTCTTCGTCGTGTCGAAGATCGCCGATGCCGAAGGCATGGAGTGGTTCTCTATCATCACCACACCCAAGTGAGTAGCAATTCTTAAGTTGGTTGCTTGTTTGGAAGTTCTACCTCAATTCATACAAACACAATTCTTATGTATTTACATAGCTAAACACTTCAATTTTTACATCTATAGCATTTTACCTATGCAATTGGTGCAACTCACTTTTAAGTGGCATTTAAACACATAACACCCAATTCTTATGTATTTACATATCTGACATCAAAATTTTACTTTTTACATTTATACAACACAAATCTATTACATCACATCAACGGCATCACCTTTTGATGCATAAGTAAGGTGGCACATTATTTAAAAACTGAAGTTTTGTTGTTATATATGTAAATATAAAAGAATTGAGTGGTATGTATGTAAATCTTCTAAGTGTGAATAAAAAAAGGTGATTTTAATGTGATAGGAAAGATTCATGTATTATAAATACAAAAATCAAAGTTTTAAGTATCAGATATATAAATATATAAGAATTGTATGCAAATGCCCCCTTGTTGTGTTCCCATGTTTGTGTGGGTTTTGTTTGAAAAAATTGTTACTGACCGTTAACATAATTTTTTGCGGGAATGCAGCCCAATCTTCACCCACTTGGCCGGAAGGACGTCAGTGTGGAAGGCGATATCGCCGGAGGTGCTTCAGGCTTCTTTCGGCACGTCGCCGGAGATGGAGCAGCTCTTCAGGTCTAAGAGGACCTCCGATGAGATCTTCTTCGCTCCTCCCAAGTAAAAGAAGGTCTACTACCATATCTTCTACTGGTTTTTTTCCGGTCAAGTAATAAAACTGGTTATTTGTTGAGTTATTCCACTGGTTCGTCTTTTATAGACTATAATTTGGTGGATTGTAACTTGATGCATGTTGTGTTTTATATTCTAATTATGTTGAGGTTTTGTAATGGAATTGTTCTCTGTTTTTTATTTGATCTGATACGTAACTACATGTTCTATTGCTGGAATGGTGATTAGTTTCGTACTAATTTTTGTATTGTATTTGAAGGATATAAATCTATTCGTGGAACACGTTCATCATTAAAAAAGCACAATTTGAGGATGGACTGAATTGTAAGAAATTGAGATGATTTTCTTACATAATTTTTTTGTATAGTTTTAAAGCATTTAATAGATAAATGAAAATTAATTCATCTTAAATTTCATCGTAAGAAATAGTAGTTTATTCCATTAAAATTTAAGATCACTTTTTCATCATGTAAACGCTTTAGATGGTGAGATAAATGATAATCTAATAGCGAAGGAGTGCTCATATTATATATATATATATATTGCATAAAGAAATTAGTAACATAATTTAAAACAATGCCAATGGATTTGCTTTCAATTATTTTAAATTTAGTATTTTAGTATGGCCATTCTAATGAGATCATCAATAATCATGAACTCGCAATGTAGTTGATAACATTAAATATATCTCTATCTATCTATCTATGTAGTAAATATAGAAATTTGCTAAAAGGCATCATATAAAATAATAATTTACCTATTAAGTTTTTTTTTCTTTACATGAAATATAGATAATTTTTTTACAAACAATCACATAGCATATTATGAAGATTTTTAACCAAATACATAGAACTAGAAATATTGACATTTACGAACCAAACACCCAAGTGATTTTTTGAACTTCCTAACCAATGCATTTACGGGGGCAGCGCCAAGATCAAACCATTTAGAACTTGATAAAAATGAAAAACATGGAGTTGGGGTTTTATCATAAATTTTGATATGTGAGTGAGAATTTGAAAAATGGAAGACAGAGAGTGGTTGATTTGTAAATAACAATGTTTATGCCTTTACGGTGCTCTATATGTAATTGCCCCATTACTTATAAATCAAGTTAAATCGAGCCCTACAAGGCTCAAAGAAGATTTAATGAACATCTTAGAATATTTCCTTTTTACTTGAGATAACTCTCCATGGCTTTTGACAAAACAAAGATTCGATCTAATTTTCAAACTCTCAGACCCTACAGAATACCTTACAAAAGGATTGGTAATGGGTTAATAGATGTGCTAAGTTACGTATACAGGTTTTTTCTACTATGTTTCAATTTTGCAACTTACTAAGTGTTTATTAAACGAATTAATCAGTATGCTTCAAGGAGCTCAGCAAATATGGTCTGCTGCAGTAAGTCAAATTTAAAATATAAATAAGGAAAAATTCAATTTAATGAATTCACAAAATTGGCAAAGAAGAATAATTCCAGACTCACAATTACGAGAAGATAGCGCCCGGAGTCCGAACGCAAGCTGCGTCGGGAAAATGAACGCGGTACACGGAAAGGTCGGTTTCCTTTTGTTTTTGTGTTTCTTCCGTGTCATGCCGTTGTCTAGACGCAACTTGTTTTCGGACTCGGAATCCGGACAATATGTTCTCAACAAGTACACATAATTTTGGCTGATTTGTCAAATTAATTGAAAATTTCAAGGTGTCGGTTTTGACAGCCCACGCCACCCGGAAAGAATAAAATCCTTAATTTTATGGCCCATTAATGTTTCACTATTTCTAGGTGATATAACTTTCATTTTGAGCAATTGCATTTCAGCCAAACTGTAATCAACTGTCATGATCAATTTATATTCACAAGCTGAATCCCATCAACCTATGACACTTGAATTTTTTCAATAAATATTGTCTTATAATCATTCTTTAATTTATCATAATGAATAACTTAAATGTTAATGACTTGTTAATGACTTTTTATAGCCCACCAATTGAATCCATATTTTTCGAATCCATAGATCATTTGTTAGTTTTCACTTCTATCATAAATCATCCCATCTTTGAATTAAAGTTTGTAATCATATTAGATTGGAGTTTTCCCTTATTCAATGCCAAATTTCAATTGAATTAATTGGATTACTTTGTATAGTTGAGTAGAACAATAACATGGAGCCTAATGGATGTAAGTCACTAATATCATTAATAGATTAGTTCATTTGTGTTGTGTCGCACTTATTATTTTATCATTCGAATTTAATATTAAATATATTGTGCTTAAAATTTGTACTCATTTACAGTACTTTATTCACCTAATGCACATTTCATCTCCTACGGAGTGTATGCGTCGACTACCAACATCTTCAAAGTCATGGAAATTTCTTTAACTTACATTCATACTTCCATGATATGCCTTATCAGTTATCACTCAAAACTTCCAAGGTTCTAATTAAAAACTATACCTTAATAAAACAAGCTAAAGAGTGAATGCTTGTTCAAAATACTCATAAAGCACAAATCAAAGAAGGGAGACAAATGGAGCAAAAGTTTAGCTGCCTCTTATATCAGCATTTACAAATTTCCATCTTAATCTTGTTGATTTCTGAAGGAGATACATCATCCTTACGGGCGTTGCCTGCCATTACTAACCCCATTGTTTGGCATAAACCATTTCAATGACAGGTCCTAGTACATGCAGTGACTTGGCATCTACTAAAGAAAACATCTCAAACTACGAAAATATATTACTGGAATGCAGAATAGAAATAAGAGGGCAAAGAAATTACCATGGCCCTCTTTCCGATGACATCCGTGCAGCATTCGAACCTATGAGTCCTGCACTTGGGAATGTTCCGGTCGGTGAGTGTATTCATAGTCGAGATGAACGAAAGCTCTTTCTACGTCAGGCAGAAGCTCGAGCTTCTCTTGCAACGCTTCTCCAATATCATGTGCTTCCCTGAGAGGCATATCGGATGGCAAGACGATGTCCACCTCGACAAAGTAGCGAGAACCAAAGGTGTACGCCCGTACCGTATCGATGTGCCTTATAGCCTTGTGGTGGTTCCAGCATAGGTACGTGAGCTTTTGGAGAAACTCTGGCGCCGCTGTTTTCCCTACGAGGGAGTTCACGTTTTCCAGAACTGTCATCAACCAGGTTCTGATGGTGTAGATGGCCAACTGTTGACAAGAAGCGTCACACATATAACCTATCAGCTCCAATTCACAAATATGCAGCCAGAAATTTATGAAGCATGGAGTTCGATGAGTATTTTAGGACACAAACACTCTGGAAATGTCAAAACAAAAAAAAATCTTTTCTTTTTCCTAAATTTTTTACACTTCTTTTAGCGTGTATTGGACATTTCTTGGGTACACATTACCACAAATCATGTCACCAATTATGATAACTATGATTCATAGTATTTGATTTGTAAATCCCATGGCATAATAAAACTATGATTTCAATTCAACATTCTTAATGTTTGGTTTTTTGAAACCCCTTTAAGTAGAATGAAACCAAACTCTTAAATATCGATGCACCTTTTGGTTGCAAGTACTCTGGAAATGTCAAAACAAAAAATTCTCTTCTTTTTCCTAAATTTTTTACACTTCTTTTAGCGTATATTGGACATTTCTTGCATATAAGTTGGGTACACATTACCACAAATCATGTCACCAATTATGATAACTATGATTCATAGTATTTGATTTGTAAATCCCATGGCATAATAAAACTATGATTTCAATTCAACATTCTTAATGTTTGGTTTTTTGAAACCCCTTTAAGTAGAATGAAACCAAACTCTTAAATATCAATGCACCTTTTGGTTGTAAGTACTCTAGAAATGTCAAAACAAAAAATTCCCTCTTCTTTTTCCTAAATTTTTTACACTTCTTTTAGCGTATATTGGACATTTCTCGCCACAACATATGCATAAGTAGGGTACACATTACCACAAATCATGTCACCAATTATGATAACTATGATTCATAGTATTTGATTTGTAAATCCCATGGCATAATAAAACTATGATTTCAATTCAACATTCTTAATGTTTGGTTTTTTGAAACCCCTTTAAGTAGAATGAAGCCAAACTCTTAAATATCGAGACACCTTTTGGTTGTAACGTTTAGAATTTTATCAAAGACATTAAAGTTAAGCATGCTCATGCAAGAGCACTCCTGGGATCGGTGACCTCTTGGGAAGTTACACCAATGAGGTAAAACCATGAGGCCATTAGGCAAATGTGATATTATCTTAATGGGTGAGAGTTTGGGACGTTGCAAGTTCTGAAACATAAGAAATGATTGTTATTTTAAATATTATGAATACCAATTTAAATAACATGTCATACTCATTTGTGTCCTAAATCTTTCAAAAAAAAATTGTTGACCGTTGTCTACAGCCAATATAGACTACAAAGAAAATGAGGGTAACCAGCAAATAAGTTGCAATGTGCATTTTACTAGATATAAGGGTCATAAAAATGATGAAGTCTAGCAACTTACTAAGATTGCTCCAACAGGGTCGATCCAATCCGTTATGTAATTGGCAAGAAGAGCAGCGACGAGGCCAATCATGTTAGTAATAACGTCAAAAAAGTGGTCCTGCGCATAAGCCTTCACGATCTCATTTGTGAATGATCGACAATAGAAAACAAGACAAAGCTTTACAACGGTCACGGATAGCATGATGTCCACAACCCATATCTCTTGCTCTTTGGTCAAGCTAAATTCACTTTCCTGCAAAAATTCCTGTCAATATCTTGAAGGAAAGGACTGAAGCTACAACTGTGTAAAAGCTTTGTAAGAATTGTAGTTTGCAAGAAAAAAAAAAGGATGTTAAGAAATTAAATTTCATAATTTCATCATGGCTTAAAACCAAACAAGCGGCCCTACTCAATAGGAGTAAAAATTTTGCTTAGAAGTGAAATCCGGCGCTGGAGCTTCTTTTAGCATACAAAGTTCTCGAATTAATATTTGACTGCCAGTCGTGAAGACTAATAATCTAAAACAATAAGCTATACATGCATTTAGCAAAAAACTACAATTATGTAAGATAATACATTAGTTATGAAACTTTAAAAGAATAATTACTCACATCAGATACAAGTGAGCGTACAGATTCCAGAATTATTTGGAGACCTAGAGTTGCCATCACAGATGCAAACACAAGGATTCCCTGCATATATTTAATTTCAGATATTTAAACAAAAACTCATGAAGCATTAGCTACTAAAGTCGCTAAAAGACAATAAAATTAAAACATAAAATAAAAAATAAGCTCATAAAACTGCAATAACAGCAGCATTTAACCGCATGATTGACAAAATATAGCAAATGGAGAGTTGGCATCGAATAAATGGTTGCTAAACATCATGTTTAACCAATTAAAAAAAAAAACTATGCGACAAATATTCCCACAGAGCATGGGGGACTTTGGGAACCAAAACACTTCTTGCAAGGTGAGCTCGTGAAAGGCATGGTCAAGAAAGAAATAAATAATACGTTTTTAAGTAGAGAAAACAGTAGACAACATATACGAGTAGCACACAGTTAAAACTAAGTCAATTAAGTTTGATTTTCTTTTTCAGTAAAACTAAGCATTTCTTAAAAAGAACAATTAAATAGGGTCATAAAAGTAGTTTTGTGCCAGTGAATGGGCCAGATTTAATATTTTCTCATGGATTTCATCCGAAATGGCATAATGAAATACAAACAATTCAAGCAATAAGTGAAATTAATTTTGACTCAATTACAATGCAATCTCTAGAATTACAAATCAGATATGGTAAGTTTATCAAATAAGAAAAAAGCAAACCCAATCCTCGAGCGATGAGTGTCGATCAATTTCAACTCAATCACAATATAACCCTTTTTGTTTAAAAAAATGATAGGATACATCTACAAAAGGAGAAAAATCAAACTGCTTGAAGGCTGTCAATAATTATCAAACAATACTCATTATACCAAAACTATAAATTCTTCACACAGGCCATTACATAGTAAATTATTAACACCAGAGGGAAGAAGAAAAAAATTTCATACGAGTTACAAAGAAATTTGGAAATTTGTTCATGAAGAGACAACTAAGACATTAACACCATGCTTTCTGCCCCAATTGATATGACAAAAACATCTTCGAAGATAAATTAGATACAGATAATTCCAGTTCAAAACAGATTAATTCAATGCTTAGAAAACCTTATTGAGGAGGAATACTTGGTTCACAGATCTTATTTCAATATGCCTTAAATATTTTAGGTCCCCTCAAGCAATTGCTTAAGAAACTAGAAGATGAATCTCTTATACATAATTTAAAGACTAAAAGAGGATCCGTGTCATTGACTTATGAATTGTCCCAAACAATAGCACCAAAACTTCGGCTCTAAAAAGCCTTTGAGACTACCATGATCTGCTTGTTTCAGTTCTGAAACATATGATTGCAATCAATTGAACTTCATGTCTGTTACAAATCACCTATTGCACAGTAGTTCCGAAAATGTTTATTCCTAATGGAGTTCACTCATTCCATTGGAAGCAACTTTGCGTTCAAACGAGGTACATATTTGAATTTAGAGATTTATAAGTGATTTGCAATAAATTAGTCTAAAAAACTTTTTAATAACATTATTATGATGCAGATGATGAAAAATGATTAAAGAAGAAACATTTTGGGCATCAAAATTAAAAATAAAGGGAATGTCCTAGATTATAGTAATTATAAAGGATTTAAACTAATAAGTCCTAATATGAAACTATAGGAGAAAGTACTGAAACACTGATTTAAGAAAATTTTGTCAATTTCCAAAAATTAGTTAGATTTAATGACACTGGAAAGGAACTTTCGGTTCAAATAATGAATGTAAAACTATAAAGAACAGAGAAAGAATTGACATGACATTTATTAAACTTAAATAAGTATATGATCGGGTATTATAATATTAATTTGATGCAAATTTAAAAAAAAATGGTTTTGAAAGTATGATGAAGTTGTTAACAATATGTATAATGAATCATTGACTAGTATTAAAAAAAGTTGCAGGGTGACCAAAAAATTTCAATTATAGTAGAATTATATTAAAGATAATGAATTGAGTTTTTTTTTATTATTTCTCATGAAGCTGCTGACAAAAGATAATCAAAGCAATGTACCTTAATTTACATAACCCATTAGCCAAAAATAAAACAAATGCAAGTTTCATTGGTCATAGTAAGATTAAACATCTGAAACGGTTATTTAGCACCTCAATTCAAGCCATACACCTTGAACACCTTTTTAAAAAAGAGTAAAAATGATAATGAATGTACATAAAAATTATGAAGGATAAATTGAATAATAATGATAATAATAATTGATGGAGAGTTGAGCAATATTCATTAAAGATGAGATAGTTAAAAATGGACTTGATAATTTATTATGTACAAGTTAATGTAAAGACACGTATGTGTTTATATGTATTTATATGGATAAATTGTGTGTGTGTGTGTGTGTGTGTGTGTGTGTGGCATTTATGAGTATAATTGTAGCCCAATAAGATGCAAGGAAAAGAGTTGTAAGTAAGTTTATGTCTCTACTGCGGAGGGAGTAAGAGATAACATGCACAAACAATGATCTTAAGATAGGTATATTATAAGTGTTTATAGAAATAGCATGTAATATGGGTATTTGTTTGGATGGAAGTAGAGGACATTTGGTTTGTTAGATAGATGACTAATAGAAGGATGTCTAGCCATATGTTCAGTGATATATTTCTTTCATGTAAAAGAGTTGAGTTATTTTAAGTATGTCACAGTCTTTATGCTTCATAATATCATTATGATATAGTATATGAAGAAAACTTATTTGGTGAATTATGCTCTAGCTATTGTATTGTTTTGTATGGGTGGAGTAAACATGTTGAAAGTTAGATGTGTCTGTTAATTATATTAGAATGTAGTAATTGAGGTAGTGTAGAGGATTAAATGGTGTTGAGAGGTGGGAGGAGTAGAAGAAGAAGAGAATTATAGTTTGAGTTTGTTGGTTAACGTAGTTGTTTGTGTTGTGATGTGGAAAAGGGGAAGCGTAATTCCATGAAAATTAAGTTGCAGTATTTGATGACATTATTAGCGGTTAGATATAGACCCTTGTAGCCTTTATGAGCTTATTTGTAACCCAATATGTAAGGAATAAAGCGATAAATATATGTCTATGATGTCGAAAGAGCAAAGGATAGCATGCATGGCTAATGATCATGATATGGGCATATGATAGATTTTATGGAAATAAAATGCAATATGGGTCATTTTGGATGGTGGCAGAGGGCACTTGGTTTGTTGGATAGACGACTATTAGAAGGACGTCGGGCTATGTGCTGAATAATATTATTTCTTTCATGTAAAAGTGTTTTGATTTGTTTCAAGTATGTGGCATTGTTTGTGCTCTACACCGTCATTTTGCTATAGTATATGAGGGCAACTTATTTGTTGAATTATGCCAACAGATGGAAGAAATCATTTAAATTGATCATAATCATATTGTTGTCCTTCATAAGTGCAAAGTAATGTGATGTGAGTGTCAAATTGGGTTTCTATTCGATTTTTTTTTTTTTTTGAAAATTGTGAATAATTTTAAATTTAGTATGCATAAGGATTCGCTAGAGGCTATGATACGGGCCCCTAGTCAATCTGATGTGCCTAACCGCTCGACTAATCCACACACCAGTGGGATCGGAGCCCCACCCATATATATATATATATATATATATATTAAAGATTGGCTAGAGGTTATGATACGAGCCCCAAACCAACCTGATGTGCCAAACCACTCGACGGATCCGCACACTAGCGGGATCAAACCGCCGACCACAGGGGACTTAGAACTGACATAGCAGATGCCAACCAAAGAGTCGGGGAACGGGGGATTTGGCGTCTAATAAAACTTACTAATGGCTGCATGCGCCTTTTCCCGATCGGATACTGGTAAGGATTTGGCGTCTGCATAGAAAATGCAGTAAACCATAGGATGAAGCCAGATAACAGATCAAGAAGAGAATCCAGAGTGGATGCTATGATTGCCAAGGAACCACTTCTAACTGATGCATAAACTTTAGCAACAAAAAGAACCATGTTTGCTACGTTCGATATCCGGATCGCTAGGGTTTCACTCCTAGCAAGACTTTCACGTTCTTCCTGTGTAATTAATTCACATCAATTCAACACAAACTATGAAGAACAAATTTAAGTAGAAAATATACGACTTATCAAAAAGATAGTCAAAAGAATTACAACTTACCTTCGACATTTGGGGTAAGAAACCGCGATCAGTTAAAGTATCCATTTCACCAAACCCATCCAACATCTCAACCTGCTGCTGATAGTACTCAGCCACGACATCTTCTTTGACTGAATCAAAGAAAAGGGCAAACTCCTCCAATTAAAAATTAAAAATTAGGTAATTGATAACAAACAGCATAAGATCAAACAAAAAAAAAAAACATGAGAAAACAACATCATCTCTGAAATATATTATTTAAGTGGCGCAAAAACAAGGCCCCCAGACACATGTTTTCCGATTACCAAAAATAGCAAGCCTTAACTCCAACTAATCTTAAACCGACTTTCAATTCCCTTTCTCTTGGTTCATTTACCGACCCAACTGTGACCAAGTTTCTAAACAAAACCATTCAGCAATACAAATAATCCATCACTTATCATCTTCTAAATCCATACATAAAAAAAAGATGCAACGCTCAGCTCGCACGGTCTGTTATGAAATTTGCAAATGAAAAACACTGAGACCAGCACAGCAAATCGAGCTCCGACGAGAATGAAGATAACGTATGCGAAACAAAATACATAGAATATGCAACCTAAGGTGCCAAGGCAGTGATGAAGAGAACGAGGGGGCTTCTCCTCCAGAAGCTCCGCACGGCGGAAACCGTCGAAGTTGAGCCGCCATGAGCGCTCGCGCTCGCCGGATTCAGCTAAGAGTAGCTTCGACCCTTCAATATCCCCATTAGAACCCTCCGAAGCTGCCATTTTCTCCGTCCTTTGCTTCTCAGACGAGCCCACAAATAACCCTAGAAAGGAAGACAGAACGATGAGGATTGTGAGCCACAACCACGAAAAAATTTATGAATCTATTGCTCTCTTGCCCTCAATATATATGATGAGTATCGTTCCAATACACGTGGCGGTACATGATTAGGTGAGGGACAAGGGCCGGCAAGGACTACCATGTATCCTCTCAGAGATTCCTCGGGTTATGGAAGTCTAATCAGACGGCTGAAAAAAAAAGATTTTTGTACATCTGATGAGATATTTTTTCTCGACCGTTGGATCGATTGACAAATCGGGTAAGAAAACAGTGTTGTTAGGTAAGATGTTTGATTAATCATATGTTAAATTATAAATTAAGATGTTCATAAGCGATAAATGCATCCATATCAGTTTAGATATTCATACCAAATATTTTTAATAATGAAAATAATGGCTGTATTTATTACGTAAAACAACTTGTAATTTTTTTTTATTTTGGTGGAGTTTAATAGGTCTAAAAATTTATTTATAAATACACCCGTATATTTTATTTTGTAAATACGGCCCATCAACTTTAGCCTCATGTCATAATTTTTTGAAATTATAATGGTAGAATTATGATTTGTATTGAAATCATGACAGTGATATTATAATGTCATGAAATCTGATAGATGGAGTGTTTAGCATAGTTTCATAATTGTTTCCTCCATGAATTTATTATATAAATTTTATTGAAACTTGTTGGGAATCATTGAAGGTTGACTCCCACATCAAAGAATGCTCCAAAGATAAGCTTCAAGATGCAAAATACGTTCCTTCGCTAGTTGGATAATATACATCATTGAGAAATGAAGTAGGTGATTGTCATCTCAAAGCTTAAGATAAAGTCAAATGATGCTTCATTTCCTACAGAATGCAGCAAATTGATGGGTGCTAAAAGATTCACGATGGTTGCGTAATAAATTATCATCTTAGCATTACATGAGAATTCAACACACACTCATATGAAAAAAAACAACCAGTAGAGACACCAGAATTTTTTATTTGGAAAACCCAAAAAGGGAAAAAACCACGGAGTATGACTTAGTTAAAGAGATTTAATATTAACTGAAGATTACACGTACAAACTCTTGTCCCACATAAGAGAGAGTTACAAAGGCTCTCGAGTTACAATATTAATGCCCCAAGGAATTTGTCACAAAAAATAGGCGGAGATCGATGGTGTTGGCGGCGGTCGGTAAGTGGTGGTCGACGGTGGTCGGCGGTGGTAGTCGACGGCGGTCGGCGGTAGTCGACAGTGGCAAAAGTGAAGCTGGACTCCAACTCCTTCTCAAAGCTTGAAGTTATTCTTCAGGCTCCAAGCTCTTCTTCAGGCCTCAAGCTCTCTCTCCTCATGAAAGAGGTGGATATCTATTTATAGTGTCTCGGTTGCAATTTAATGAAGGAATATGAACCACTTTGATCGGATGGCTCAGGAGACTTCCCTGGATTAGACGACATTTGATGGATATTTGTGTGTCTTAACAATATTAAAATTGAGTGTTGTTGAGACGCTTAATTTGATCATAAGCTCGTCAAATTTGACATTCTAAATATGTGCAAAAAGCTTCTAAAAGTGGTTTCATGACTTAATCTGAGCTTGATTTGACTTATATTTGATCAAGTTTAGTATAACCGTGTCTGTCTCATTGAATCAATTATTTTGACTATAAGCTTGTTGAAATCAGACCTATGGATGAATTTTTATTGGAGTTTGAACATTTTGTGCTCAAACGATTGTCTCAAGATCTGTCATGTTTTGAGATTCATACCCAAGGAAGGAACGTGTTGATGGCATATCAGTAGTAAATTGAACATTTTTTGGCTTCCTTATTCTATTCTGAACTCAATGGCTACCATTCTATTTAGCATGATATTTCATCTAGCGAGAAAGAAGATTGTATTTTTCATAGCTAGCATGGTGACCACTCATAATAACATCTTTGGATGCATTTTGCTTCATAAACACTATAACCATACATCCTTTTATTCTAAATGCTTCTTCCTCTCATTGATTATCAATGAAAATGAAAAAAAAAATGTCATATTCTTCCTTAAATTTTGTTGATGCATCTCCATATTATTGCATTACATAACAACATTACTACATTTTCTTAATGCACCATTACATTACCATCAAATACTATCCCCCAACTTTAATAACCCTAGCTCCCTACCTTTTGAAAGTTTGAATGAGTCAAGTAAGGTTGTAAATGAGTCGAGTCAAGCTCAAGTCATGCTCTAGTCGAGGTTAGCTCATCTGCCAAATTGTGTTGTCTCGTGAGCCAGCTTGCGAGCTCAAACTAAAAATTTAATTTTGCTCACGAGCTGAAACTAAAAATTTAATTTTTATTTGAACTCACTGAAGAAGGTATTTGTGGTTGTAGGAGGAGGATGTAGCGGTAGCTCACTGAAAAATACATCGAAATAACTGGAGGTAGGATAATAGAATCATCTAGCAAGCCAAAAAGCCGAACCGGGACGAGCTCGAGCTCAAGCTCATTTAATAAACGAGCTCTAGTTTCAGCTTGAGCTCATGGCTTGATAAGCTAGGCTCATGAACTCATCAACGAGTCGATCTCAAGCCGGCTCGCACGGCTTACACCCCTAAGTCAAGTTTGCTCCATACCACTGTGAGGATCAAGCTTGAGTTTAACATTGAACTAAAAGGATCCATCAAACCCTAGTTAAGGGTTTTGTAAGATTAACCAAATCCCTTTAGATTTAAAATCCCAATTCAAAAGAAAATATATTCTAAATTTAATTTGGATAGCCCAGCCAGCTCAATCACAGTTGGATAACTAATTCATGCATAAATAAGCCTTAGTTATGATTAAAAAAATTAGGTGACAAGTATTCTATAATTTTTTGCTGATCTAAATATACCATAAACTACTCAATTCTTAAACACTTTATCACTCAACAAAATTTAGATACATATTGAAATTATCTTTATTTAGTTTCTTTCAAAAGAATTTCTTATGGGTCATGGGATGAAAGATGTTTACATCATTATAATTAAGGAAGTTTAATCCTTGCCTAGTTGTAAAAATCATAATCCCAATTAAAAGTGGTGAGGCAAGTTCTATTTAACTTTCTTAAATCAATAGTCTTGATTCAAGAAGTACAATATTATTTGGATTTGGACAAACAAACCAACCCAATCTTATTTGAATATATTTTTCATGCAGGATAAGAAATTTTGTATAATTTATAAGGCTAGATTATGTGACACCTAGAAAAGTTAGAATATATAATTTTTAAATCTAAAGACACCATGAAGCACTCAATGTCAAAGTATAGACATGACATTGATGTTGTTGTTATCTTTTAAGGGACTTGAATCACTTTTTAATTATTATATTTAACGATATGCAAAAATTGTTTGTAATTTTTTTTGAGTTAGAACAAATTTTATGATGCATAAGACTCAAAATTTATGCGAGTTGAATTGTAGAAAAAATGAAGACTATTATTATGATAAAAAAATATAATTTTATGGTGCATAAGATGAAAAAAGCTGTGATGGTGGAGTCTTAACATGAGATCATTCATCTCCTGCATAGGGAGCGACAACCGCAACCCAATTGAGCTTACTTACCACTCGTTCAACATTCAATAGGAAATACCCCAATCATCCTAATGATAAAACCGTTCCATTGTCGAGACGGGTCACTGATCTTCTCGATGTTACAAGTTCCATGTCTCATGCAACTCACGTGGCACCTATCTGCCTTACTGTTATTTCTGCAGATATCATCTGTGATGAGCTATGACGTCTGGTTCGGGAAGTGTTCCCTCTAGATAAAAGGGATCACTTCCCCGCTCACTGTAACTTCCAAGAATCCCCCCTTTGGCTGATGTGATTCTCCAAAACCCTATCCCAACATGCTTAAAACTCTGAAACATCGATGCCTACGAAAGGATAACTGATCCATACGGACTGGTGAACATTATCGAGCCATCATTCACATTCATCGTGCTTTTGATGCCTTCTCAGTCAAGTGTTCCCTGTGACTCTCAAGAGTTAAACATACAAATGGTTCTACTCCCTCCCGGGCACCATCGTCGCTTTCAATGACTTGTAATATTATTCGTAGAACAGTTCATAACAAATTGAAGGATACTCAAAGATTCATCCTACTTATCGGAAATCATTCAGAATGAGGAGGAATCCATCAATGAATACTTTCGCAGGTTCTCCACTGAAGCTCACTAGATTCCGAGAGTGGATTCAAAATTACTGAGAGGAGTCTTTCTTAGAAGGCTTCACCCATGACCTTCTTACTCATCACTGATGTGGAAGACGGTTCGCTCCTACACCAATCTTGTCCATCATGTCGAAGCTAAAATCTCTGCAGATGAAGCCATCAGTGCACACAAGGAACAATTTTTGTGATTGTGGGATAAGCATAATAATAATGCTAAGGATATCGATCAAATCTCACAGTGAAAAATTTAGGACCATAGAGAAATTGTGAGCCTTGATCAGAAAAAGAATACACTCCACTCAACAGTTCACGTGTCAATATCCTAAGGACCATCAATGATGAAAAGGTTATTCAGCGGCCAGGACCATTAAAAAATCCAGATGATGGAGACCAGTCTCAATATTGTCATTTACACCAAGCTAAAGAACATTCTATTGAAAAATATTTTCAATTTAAGGAATAAACTGAAACGCCAAGGTCACTTGGGTCACTACTTGCAAGAATGACATGATGGGATCTTGAAAAAAATTGTCATGCTTGTAGAATGAGAAGTAAAACTCCAAATTATCTTCCTTAGGTAAAAGACTGGCATATAAACTCTTAATTTTATTCTAGCAAATTTTTTATGTTGCTTTAACCTATCATTTCAAAGAATTTTTCTTATTCTCTCATGAAAATTTTGTGTAGAAAGTCCATTGAGTGCAAGCAGCAGACATAGTTTCCTTCCTTACCTTTGGAGGTTGAGCCCAGAAGAGAAGACTCGATGAGATGATATTGTGCTTCTGGAAGACGAGCTTAAGCGACAAAACTCGATGGGAAGCTACCA